GAAGGCAGTTTGGGGAGATAGCTGATGCGGTCTGTGTGGCGTATGTTGAGTTGGAGGTGTTTGGAGTCATCCGAGTGGCCTGCTCAAGGAGGCACCTGGCTACCAGAATCTGGAGCCCACAACAGAGGTCAGATGTGAGACCCCCCGCTGCTGGGAGAGTCCCAGAAACCTCCAGCGCCCCCGCCTTAAGCATGGTGGGTCCTACCTCCCCCCACCTGAGGTTTTCCAGTGTGGCTGGGGAAACAGCGTTGGAGAAGGGGACTCTCTACCCATAACTACACATATGTCCACAGCAACTTTCCAAGTGATCACGTATTTATTTCAGAAATTTTTCTTAGAGGTTTGAACTTGATCTTTATTAAGATATTCTGTCTTTATATTTTTGCAGTCTTTTATCGCACATTGTTATTGTCTTTTACAACATATTTGCTTTTATAACGCATAAATTGAAACTGTTCTGCAAAAAGTCAGTATTTTTATTTTGGTCAGTTTGGTTTTATAAGTTTTTTAAAAAGCAAAGAGAAAATAATACATCTGGCTTTTGGAATATGACCACGGGTTCCTGAGAACAAGCTGATTTTAGTCTCAGCTGGTATTCGGAACAGAAACTCCTCCGTGGAGCAGATGTAGCGTAGCTGCATTTATCATCCAGTTATCCATCCAGCCGGTCTGTTTTTCTTGGTTCCTGCTGAGTCTGACTTGCCGGAGCTCTTGCCGGCAGCCGGCAGGGGCAGCAGCGCACCCTCCTGTCCTCTCTGGGCGCCTGTCCGGCTTTCAGCTCGAGGCCCTGTCCCCCTTGCCCCTTCCAGATACATCCCAGGCCACTTCAGCAGTGACTTCATGCTGATGGGCCCTAGAGAACAGATATGTCAGCTGCGGGTATGACATCAGAGGGGAGATGAAACTGGCAAAAAATTCAGGTGTCTGTCACCTCGGGGAAGCTCTAGAGGCCCAGTGGCCGGATCCCAGATCGAAGGAGGAAATGCGAAACTTCGTAGTTGGCTGGCTTGGGGGGCAGCATATACTCCCCTGGGTGCCCTGAGTTCTCAGGCCCATTAACCGAAGATCAGAAAAGCTCCACATCAAGTGTGGCTGAGCGATGAAAACTCCTTTGGCTGGTCAAGGCCGAGGTGTAAGCAGTGCCACTACTCGGACCCGAGGACCCTGCTAACCCCACGATGGCGGAGGTGTCTGTAGGAGCTCAGGAATCATTCACTGAACCCATATTGACTGGACATCTTCTATGTGCCAGGCACTGTGCTGGGTGCTGGCTGCCGGTGAAGTGTGTGTGTGTGTGTGTGTGTGTGTGTGTGTGTGTGTAATATGGAGTGCCCATTTGTCATTTTTGCAAATGATGTTGATAGCTACATTTATTGAGCACTTCCTATGTTTGAGAGTAAGCATGGCCGCATAGTGCCTTATTTAATGCTTATGACAGCCTCTTAAGGACGTGGGTTCTATTGTCATCTCCCATTTTGCAGATGAGAAGACTGTGGCAGAGAGAGACTAAATGACTTGCCCAGGGACACCCAGATCATAGTGGTGGAGTCAGGACACTATCTGACTCAAGAGTCTGCATCTGTGGCCATCTGCCTTCTGTGGCTTTAATTCTAATAGAAGAAACGGATAACAAAGAAAGTCATGCATACATAAATAAAAAATCGCAACTTCTAGCCAGCGGTGGAATGCAGAGGGAGCCGACTTTAGACAGAGACAGATGGGATTTGGTTTGTCTGCTGGGCTGGCCTCACCTGCAGTCACTCCTGAGGCTACCAGCATCTGTGGCTTGACTGCAGCCGGACTGTCTAGGATGGCCTCAGTGCCACATCTGGAAGCTGAATCTGGCTCTTGGCTGAGGCCTCAGCTCTCCCTCACTTGGCCTCAAATCTGTCAGGAGGCTTGGCTGGGCGTCTTTATCCCTGGCAGTCTCGGGGTTCTAAGAGGGCAAAGGTAGAAGCTGCAAGGTCTCTTGAGACCTGGCTGGCCAATGTCACTTCCGTCACAACAAGTCACAGGGCCAGCCCAGATTGAAAGAGCAGGGAAATGGATTCCATCTCTTGAGGAGAGGAGCTGCAGAGACTTTATGGCTGTATTTAATCTACCACAGGCCTGAAGGCGCCGGTGAATGACCTGAGCAGGTTTCTGCCTCCAGTAGGCCCACATCTGACAAGTCACCACCCTCCTCCCTTAAAGCAGCATCACAGATAGATTGGTATTCATTCTGCAGACCACTCTAGAAGTATCGATCAGGTGGGTTAGAGACGGTGTTCGGCTCAGTGGTTGATTGCATTTTTGAAGATGGCCACTAATATATCTCCCATCCCACATGCTATTCCTACAATGTGACATTGACGAGCCTCCACAGAGCGGTGGAATCTTATGCTCCCTCCCCTTGCAACCGGTGGACCCTCATAATAGTCTTGACCAATGGAAAGGGCAGGAGCAGCACGTGTCACTTCTGAGGCTGGATCAGAAAGGGCGATACAACTTCCACCCTCTTGGTACACTTGTCCTTGGCACCTAGCCACCATGTTATGAGGAAGCCCAAGCCCCGTGGAGAGGCTCTGTGTGGTGTTCCCGCCAATAGCCCTAGTTAGGCCCTCCGCCATCAGCCAGCACCCACTGCCAGACATGTGCGTGAACAAGCCTTCAGATGATTCCAGCCCCAGCTTTTGAATCTTCCAGCAGAGGCCCTAGATGTCACAGAGCAGAGATAAGCCACTCTCATTGTGTCCTGTCTGAATTCTTGACCCACAGAAGCCAGGAGAGAGCATAATGATTATTGCTGTTTTAAGCCACTAAGGTTAGGATAATTTGTTATACAGCAGTAGATAATTAATAAAGGTTGCTGGTAACAGAGACCAAAAAAAGTGGCTTAAACAAACTATTAATAAAAGTTTCTTTCTTTTCTCATTGGAGGCTGGAGTAGGCAACCCAGGGATGATATGGAAGCTCATGTGGTGTCATCAGGAGCCCAGGATCCTTTACCTTGTTGCTCTGCCATTCTCAGCACATGGTTACAATTTTCCAGGTCTCCTCCTGATCCAAGCTAGCTGCTGGAGTTCCAGCTGTCACACATGCATTCCAGGCTGAATTCAGGACGAAGCAGAGAGGACAACAATGGCCTTCACCAATATGTTTCTATTTCATTCATGGAGCATTGTTGAAAATCCCTTCCAATACCTTCTGTTTATATCTCATATCCTAGAATTAAGAAACAGTCACACCATATATGCAAGGAAGACTGGAAATGTTGCTTTTTAGGCTGGGCTCATTGCAATCTACTGTAAAACTAGGATTCTGTTTTTGAGGAAGGAAGGAAAATGGATGGTGGCCAGTGGGCAGTTGGTGGCTCGGGAGTTAGGGCAGAATGATGGCAGAGGTTCCTCCCCACTGGGAGGAGCTGGAACCAGCACATTGGCCCCCCACCCACGGTGGCCTTCTGGAATGTTTGGGCACCATAGGGTTTTCCACCTAATTTGCTTCTGAACAAAGAATTGACTTCACTCCCAAAGAAGTGAGGCAGTGGGCAGGTGCACAGGGCAAGTTCTGGTCTCTGACGCCACCTTCCCCATGTGGCCAGCAGGCAGCTGGACTTTGCTAAATGGCCTAAAGGCAGCCCTGACCCTATCACTTCCCTGCTCAGCTGCCTTCCATGGCACCAGTTTGCTCCATTTAATGATGGATTCTGGGGTTTCATATGAACGGCTTCGCCCACTCCGCCCTGGCTCTTTGCTTCTGCCCCTCCCGTCTTGCTTCCTGCCCTGCTGCCAGGCTTCATTCAGGCAGCACCTGCTGCCTGAACACCTGCTGCCCTGCCTTTGCTTGGGAGATCCCACACATTCTCAGCACCCTTCCAGGGCTGCCACTGGCCCTCATGGTGACTTTGTGTGGATTAGAAAAAGGTGCCCTTTCTTCAGGTGGACGTGGCTCTGTGCCAGGGCTTGGGAGTGGCCTGTAGGTACATGCCACCCATGCTTGCCCCTCAGCTCAGTGCCCTTGCACAGTGAACACCCTGCACAGCCGTACACGTGAAGATGCCACTTCCAGGAACCTGTCTGAGCTCCTTTAGTGAGTGAGGCCTTTCTTTGCCCCTGTTGTTCTGTCTGCAGACCCCACACCGGCCTGCCCTGATTTGGGTCTGGCTGTTTCTGTTTCTGGTTTTGTGTCCTGCAGCCTGCTCAGTGCCCAGTCCCGCAGACTGATGTCAACAGCCACCAGGGGAAGAGAATCCAAGTCACAGGCCACTTTGGGGAGCAGCCACCATCCCTTGGTCCTTTGCATGCCCAGATGCAGAAATGGAACCCCCGCTGAGCTGCAAGAAGTGCCACCGTGGACAAGGCCTTAGAAGTGATCCAGGCTGCTCAGAGCAGCTCAAGCCCGAGGCTCAGAGGCCCCAGGCTGGGCAGGGAGGTTCCCTCTTCTCAGCTTACCCTGTTGCTGGGAACACTGGAGCACAACTGTGGTCCCCTCCCAGAACCCGTCCTTGTGCCCCGAACCGGGGTGGCCAGCGCCACACTCAGGAACGCGCTGAGAAGAGCCTCCACTTTGCGCCTTTATTTAACCTGCGTCCTCTTTGCCTCTCCCTCCCTCACCAGCCCCTGAGAGGGCTGGCGCCCAGTTGGAAGGGAAGGGACTCCTGGCCCCTCCCTGGGGGAGGGACAGCGTTCCCTGGGCAGGTTGGTGGAGCAAGGGCATCGTCCAAGAGGCTGTGGCTGAGGCTGAGCCCTCAGATACCCTGCGGCCCTGGGTGCCAACAGCCATCGGGAAGGTGAGGAGCAGAGAAGGCCGTGCGGCGATGAGGAGACAAGCCCAGGGTGTGTGCGTGGCTGACAGAGGCAGACATGGACTTCAGGAGGCAGGAGCAGAGACCAGGGCATGTGGGGGCCACGGTGGGGTCTTGAGAAGGCACCCCAGGTTGCAGGGGAGCGGGATGCAGGGGTGCAGCAGGCACCGGGAGTTACAGTGGGGATGGGCATGGGGCAAGGCCGGATCAGGTGCTGGCCCCGAGCGGGGCGGAGGGCGGGCAGGGAGGGCTCTGTCTGGGGAGGATGGGGACTGTGGGTGGCAGTGGGGCCAAGGCCGCGGTGCCGCAATAGCCAGCTCTCAAATTCAGGCCCAGCTGGGCGTGGCCCAAACCACCAATTTGTGCTTCTAGGTTGCTCGAGGGCTCCGATGTGGCCTCAGCCCCAGCAGGCAAGTGGCCATGTGCAGCCCTGTGCTGCAGGCAGCAGCTGTCTCCAGGACTCCTCCCCATCCCAGGCTTTCTGGAAGCTTCCTCCCCTGCCCAGTGTGAGAGGCCCCCAAGCCAGATCACCTGCCATCACAGGGCGTGGAACATGGGGAGGGGGGAAGCCATGCTGGGGACGGTTCAGAGATTCAACTTGGGTGGTGTCCATTCCCCCAAAATGACCAAGGTCACTGCATTTTAGTCTATTTGAGGCCCCGCCCCCACCCGCACCCTCGTGTGTGTGTGTGTGGCCGGTCCGTTTTCCCTCCTGTTTTGGACAATTACTCAGGCGCCTAAGCCTGTGCCGGGATGGCCAGGAGGGGCCCCCCTGGGGGCCGCGGGCTCTCAGAGCACGCCCTGCCCATCCCCCTGGCAGCCGCTGTCCCCGTGGACAATGAGCACCGGGAAGTAAAGGGCGTCCTCGTAGCAGGGCGGGCTCTCCAGGGGCTCCGTGTCCTCCCCGCGGCGCCCCAGCGGCCCCCCGCTCAGGCTGCGGAAGACCCCTGGCGTGGCCCGGCCGCCGGCTCCGAGCGAGAGGCGGCTGCGGCTGAAGGGCAGGCGGGGCCCGCTGGGCCGCGCGGGCGGCAGCGAGTTGCTGCTGACAGAGCGGCGGCAGCGCTGGCAGCCGCGGAGGTAGGCGCCCGCGCCCGCGCCCATGACCACGGCCTCCGAGTAGCTGGGCACCAGCTGCCGGTTGGAGCAGATGTGCCACTCGAGCTCGGTGAAGTCCACCGTGGCCACGCGGGACAGCGGCGGCGCGCTGGGCACGGCCCCCGGCGGGGGCGAGCTGGCGCCGAAGAGCTTCTCCACCTGGTAGTGCACGTGCGCGGTGCCGTAGGCCGCCACCACGCGCAGCGGCCAGGACAGCGTGGCGGCCGACACGAGCCAGAAGACCCAGGCGCGGGCGTACCAGGGCGGGCTGCGGGGGTCGGCGAAGACCATGAGGGACTCGCGGAAGTCCACGTCCTTCAGGTGCATGCCCTCGCGGGCCTCCAGGTAGTCGTCCAGGCCCTCGTTGGCGCTGAAGAAGCGCGCCCTCTGGGTGAGGTACGAGGCCTCGGCCTCGGCGCTGCCGAAGCTGAAGCACTTGGTGAAGCGCAGCCGCGTGGCCGCGTGCTCGGCCAGGCCCACGAGCTCCTTGGAGACGTCGCGGACGCCGTGCGCCGAGTAGTCAAACTCGCCGCGAGCCGTGCGGCTGTCGGCCCTCTCGTGGTACACCTGCGTGGTGGTGTAGGCGTCGCCGTTGCGGTAGCGGGTGATCTGGCGCGTGCGCCGCACGTAGTGGTAGCTGGTGGCCTTCCACCAGACACAGGGCGGCGCCTGCTGCAGCCGGCGGATCAGGGCGAGCACGGTGTTGGCGTCGGTGCGCGGCGCCTGGCAGGACCGCACGTGACAGTGCCAGCACTCAGCCAGGTAGAGGAGGTAGAGGAGGGAGACGAAGGCCAGCGGGATGTATAGGTAGCCATCGGAGCAGGGGCTGGCCGGGTAGGTGGGTGGCTGGCCGCCGGCACTGCGGGCCAAGGCTGCCTCCGGCCCCAGGACGAGCCGAGGCACGGTGGCCAGGCGACACCAGGCCACCACAGCCCCACAGGCATGGATGAGCAGCGTGAGGAGCAGGCACTTCCAGTGCGACTCGCGGCACAGGGAGCTTCCCAGGGACTGTTTCAGAGGCCGCTGCTGCAGGTGGGCAGAGAGAGGGGAGGCGTGTGTCAGGATGGGGCCATCAGTCATGCCTGCCACTTGGTTTAACCCCAGTGAAGAAGGTGATGCCATGAGCCCCACTTTGCAGAAGAGGAAACTGAGGCTCTGAGCGATTGAGCCACTTACCCAGGCCTCACGTGTCTGGCTAAGTCACAGTGGCACTGCCCCATTCAAACCCAGGCCTCTCCGCCCTAAGCCTGTCCTCCACTGTGCTCTGCTAGTTGTCAGCCAACAGTACCCGGGACACAACAAACTTACCTCTGCCAGGAGAGGACCCCCTATCCCCCCACTGGCTGTTGAGAAAACCAAGTTCTGGTCCTGGCTCTGCCCTGATTTGCTGTGTGAACCTGGCTGCATCCCTACCCTCTCTGGGCCTTAATTCCTGGTCGTGGTGGTCTGGGAGGTCAGCATGGCAGGGGTCTGAGGGGGGAACTGGCTCCATCACTCACTGTGTGACTTGGGCAGGTCCCTCGTCCTCTCTGGACCTCAGTTTCCTCATTTGCAAACTGGGGTGCTGTGAGGACTCAACGAGATAATGTGTGTGAAGATCTCAGCACAGGTATGGCCCGTGGGAATAAATATTACTACCGTTACCCTGCGACTCCCTCTGGTCCCTTGTTCCAATAGAGATGGCAAGAGACTTTCGGGAGAGGCTTTTAAGTCAGCAAGACAGAGGGAGTGCTAGGAACGGGGGAGGTGTGAGTCTTGGGGTGGGGAGCATATGGAGGGCCATCCTCCACTCCCCATCTGTGCTGGGGGGGACACAGCTGCTGGGCGGCAGGGGCCACTCCCTGGCCCAGAGGGCTTGGCACACCCTCCCTGGCAGGGCTGCCAGCCTGGCCTCCTCACCCCCAGGTGCCTACGGAGAGAGAAGAAGGTGGGCAGGAAGTGGAGGGAGAAGAAAGTAGAGATAGCAGAGGTGGGTTAAGGAACCACATTTCCCACCCCAGCCCCACCAGGCCTGAGAGGCCCAAGAGGACAGGACTCACCCCCAGCCCAGCCTAGGGCAGCCTGCACCCCGTCACCCACCACAGGTGTACACCACCACCCTGACCTGCAGGCTACTCGATACACACTCCCACTCACCCACACCCGACACGTGTTCATCGCAGACCCTCCCGCCACGGAGGGCCACGCTGCCTGTTCATCCAGGAAACACCAGACCCTCACCTGTCCCCAGAGTACAAACCCCCACACCACAGCACCATAAGCAAGGACAGACAGAGACACACACAGACCATCCACCAAGACACACACATGCACATACGTGTTACACACTCACTGAAGCCCAGAGACATGGCAGACCTTCACCTGACCACTGAGCACATCTCCTCACCCCCCACCCCCGCTGTAAGCTGACACCACACCCCCAGAATCCACACCGGAGAGACCCACCGGCAACAGGATGCGCTCATGCGCGCACACACACCTCTGGGTGAGACCCAAGCCAAGGCACCCGCCAGACCCTCCTCTGACTGCAGGGCACAGAGTTGCCACCTGAGGTGCAGGCAACGCGCACACCCGAATTCACACACCCACACGACACACACACAAGCAGGCTACCTTCACCCAAACGCACACTGACCCACTCTCGTTGGCCTCCAGGTATCGTCCAGGGCCGGTCACCCCAACACACCACACAGGGCCCCACAGCGCTGCAGATCTTCAGGGCTGGGGCTGAGGAGGGGCCGTTCTGGGGGCGTCCCGGCAGCAGAGTGGGCCCTCACCCCTCACTCGAGGGGGAGGAGAAGGGGCACGGAAGGCCGCCTCCCTTCCTCTTGCCCCTCCTCCCCCCAGGCCCTGCTACAGCTGCTGCATTGCAGGCACCACCCGGGCACCTCGTGAGCGGCTGGGCCGGGCCGGGGGCCTGACCCCGCGGCCCTGGGGGTGGGGGCAGCATCCCCGCAGCGCTGCGGAACGGGGTCGCCTGGGGGCCGGGCGCTGACGTCATAGGGCGGGCGAGGCCGGATAAGGGGGCGCCGCGGGCGGAAGTCGCCCCCCACATTCCTGCCCAGCCGCCCCACCCCTATCCCCACGCGGCCCCTAGGCCCCCGGGACCCCCGGCGGGACGCAGGCCACCCCAATGACGTCGCTGGCCTCAGTGGCTCCGGGACTTCGCCCCTCAGCCCCTCTCCCGGGGGTCTCCCCTCCTTCGTCCCCCTCACGCCGCCCAGGCCTGGGTCCGGCCCCACCGCACGGCGCCGGTACCTCCTCCCGCAGCTCGCTGTCCGGGACGAGCGCAGGCACCTCTCCGCCGTCGCCACCGCCGCCCTCGGGCATGGTGTCCTGGCTGCTTGGGCGGCCCCGGCCCGGGCCCGGGGCATGATAGGGGGAGCGCGCAGGGCTGCGGCGCGGCCCCGGGGGCGTCCGCTCGGCTCGGCGGCCACGGAGGGAGTGCGCGGAGCTGGAGCCCGAGCGCGGCGGCGGCGGCGTCGGCCGCCGCGGTGCCCGGCGCGCCGCCCCTCGGAGGGGAGAGGGCAGCGGCGGCGGGACCCGAGCGCGGCGGCGGCGGCGGCGAGCAGCGCGGCTGCCCCGGGGCCATGTGGACGGGCGGCCGCCGCCCGGGCCGGCTTCGCCGGGCGGTGAGTACCTGCGAGCCGGGAGGGCACAGCGCGGACACCGGCGCGGAGGCGGGGCGGGCGCCACCCACGCCTCTGGGCGGTCCCTGCTTGGCGCCGCGAGCTGCTGGCCCCCCGCCCCCCGCTCCGATCCCGCGGCGCCCCTCCGGGGCCGGTGCGCCCCGACCCCGCCGTGCATGCCCCGC